TTCCAGATAAGCAGAAATTAAGGGAATTTGTTAAAACCAGACCAAGCTTACAATAGATGCTAAAGGGAGCCCTTTGGACAGAGAAGCAACAACAGCCAATAACGACTGACCATTAACACACATGACAATATAACCCAGAAACCAACCCAGTTATGGAAGTATCCAAAGGAAATAAGCCTATGAGATTGTAAACAGGGAACTGGAGACATCAATTGACAAATGAGGACAAATGCAAACCAAAAAGAGGGATAAAACTGTGTTGTTACAGAACTTCTAGATGGTAGGGAAGTTAAGACAACTGTAAGATAGAACGGACTGTTCTAAACTTGGGAAGAAAACTATAAATCACAGGGTAATCGCAAAGAAAAATGATAAACCTTCACATCAAAAAAGAGGACCAGCATAAATATTCAGCAAATACTAAAACAATAGCAATGAAGGAAGTGATAACACAATTCATAAACAAAACAAGCTCAGCATAGAAAATTATATGGAACAGAAAAATCGACACCACAAAACGCATAAGAAAAATGACAGCAACAAATTCATATTTGCTAATAATTACATATCTGGGAAGGGACTTATCTCCAAGATTATAGCGGAAGAGTGGATGACCAAACTATGGTACATACACATAATGGAATTCTATGCAGCACTAAAGAATAATGTAGTGTCTGCAAAACACCACATAATATGGATAAACTTGGAGGACATTATTCTGAGTGCAATCAGCCAATCACAGAAGGTCAAATATAGTATGAGTTTGTTGTTGTGGAGGGTCAAGGAAGGTTTATATATGGAGGGAAACTTTGTTGGTTGCCAGGCATAGAACTGTTATGGTTAGCTGCCATTGAGTTGGCCCCCAGCTTATGGTGACCCCATGTGCAACAGGATCAGACTGTTGTGATCCATTGGATTTTAATTGCGTGATTTTAAGGCAGTAGATTACCACACCTTTCCTTCTAGTTCATCTTAGTCTGTAAGCTCTGTTGAACCCTGTTCAGCACCGTAGCAACATGCAAGCCTTCACTGACGGGTGGTGGCTGTGGATGAGGTATATTGACTATGAACTGAACCTGGTTTTCCCACATAGAATGCAAGAATTCTACCACTGAACCACCACTGCCCCCTTTGCACAGAAGAGGTAATTAAAAAAAATTATATATTGGAATTGACTGAGTGGCAGTAGAGTGTTTTTTTTTTTTTTTTTTTTGGTTATATAAAATCAAACTCATTACCATTGAGTCGGATCTGACTCATAGCGACCCCTCCTTGGGTTTCTGAGGCAGTATCAGTCACTATGGAAGTAGATTGCCAAACCTTCCTCCAAGGAGTGGTTGGTGGGTTTGAACCGCTAGCCTTCTGGTTAGCAGTCAAATGCCTTAGGCAGTATGCCACCAGAGCTCCTTTCAGTTATGTATGTATGTGTATATATATATATAAAGTCTTCTCTGTTATTTCCCTCTTACTCTTACTGACCAGTGTCTCTTAGGGAATTGATTCTAGGGAAGACAGTAAGGGTGATTGGAAAAGATAAAACAGCTAAATATGTCTTCTCCTTTCAGGTAGAAATGGACTTTTACCAAATCATTTTAGAGAGGTTTATGTTCTTATGATTAAAAATAGAAGATTCTACAGCTGCTTTTGGTAATATATTCAAGTGATTCTCAATATAAAAATTTCTTGCTATAGTTAATATAATTCTTAGGGCTTCTCTGGATTTATACATACAATAGAAATCCAGCTATACAATTAAAAAAAAATTGATTACATTTTCTTCAAAACAGTTAATACATGCTTTTATTTATTTTTTTTTAAAGAGCAAATTGAAATACAGAAGAACATGTATTTAGCTAAGTGAGACATTTCCTCAAACCTCTCTTCCTTTTATTATGTAGTTTTTTTAATAGTTATTTGGGTGTCTTTCCAGACCTTTCTCTGGGCACATACAAACATTCCACAATGTGTTTTTGACCTGGCCTTTATATGATGTTTAAGGCATCTTAGAGTGTGTTGCAGTTAGAGAGAGCCACAAAAAGAAGAGCTCTTGAGGGCCACCTTCTGTAATACCTTAGAGATAGACAGTAACTTGCTAGAAATTTCTACAGATGAAGATCTAGCTTTTAATTTTTCAAATTCATAAGTTCATCTTATCTGTGTGATGATAGTTGATCCATCTCTTATCTAAAAAATCTATGTGACTTATTTATAAAACAGAATTCAATTTAAAACTCTATGGTAAGAGAGATTACTGAGTAAAAAATCTGTGTTTTTTTCCCATATGGGGAATAAGTTCCTACATGTTATATCCCACCCATTGCTATGGAGTCGTTTTTGACTCATGGCAATCCTATGTGTTACAGACAGAGTAGCACTGCTCCATAGGATTTTCTTGTCTGTAATCTTTATGGAAGCAAAGAGCCAGGCCTTCCTTCATGACACCTTTGGTCATGAACTGTCAGTTTTTAAGCTAATAGCAAAGGAGTTCTGGTGGCGTAGTGCCCAAGAAATCTGACTGCTAACCAGAAGATTGGTGGTCAAACCCACCAGCTACTCTTTGGAAGGAAGATGAGAGAATTTACTTCTATAAATATTTACCGCCTCGGAAACCCAATGGGGGTTGCTATGAGTCAGAATCGACTCAATGGCAGTGAGTTTGGTTTGAGTTCTTTTGGAGTTGAGAGCAAACTCTTTATGCCAACTAGTGATCTTATGTCCCACTGTTGTTGTTGTTATGTGCCGTCGAGTCGGCCCCGACTCATAGCGACCCCTCCTTGGGTTTCCGAGGCAGTATCACTATGGAAGTAGGATTGCCCAACCTTCCTTCCGAGGAGTGGCTGGTGGGTTTGAACCGCCAACCTTCTGGTTAGCAGTCAAGTGCTTTAGCCACTATGCTACCAGAGCTCCTCTTATGACCCACTAGAAGGGGGAAAAAAAAAATAGTATTAAGACTATGCCAAAGGGGAAGGAGGCCACATCTCCTGACCTCCTTAACCCCATAAGAGATAGACAGAATCACCATAGCCCAAGGCCTATTCCTGCGAGGCCAGACATGCTGCCTTCCTCCAGCCCTTTCATCAACTCTGATACCAACCATTCCTCCTGCAGCACCCACCACCTTTCTCCTGGGTTCAGTAATTTGCTGCAGTGGACACACAGAATTCACAGATTATGGGTTTAATAGGGAAGCACCAGGCTACAATTCAAGTTCAGGAATAATGCTCAGTCTCTTTCAGCCTGTTGTCTCTTAGCCAACAGTCTCTCAGAGTCTCTCTCCCAGCAGTGAGTGTCTCTCTCAGCAATGTGTGTCTCTTGTGTCTCTTTCCCAGCACCATGTGTCTTTCAGGAATGCATGTCTCTCAGGAGTGTGTGTCTCTCAGGAGCATGTGTCTCTCACAAATGCATTTCTCTCAGCAGCACATCCTTCTCAGCCAGCAGTCAGAGAGACTCTGCCTCTAAGAGGCCTCCTTTTGAGCCTGGCAGAGTGGCCAAACTAGACAATCATAACATCCACATTCTAAGTACCTGAGAGACAGTGAACTTCCCAGAAGAGTGCTTTGTGCCACTCTCAACAGCAATACCCCAGGTGAATAACTTTAATAATCAGGGGTTCCTCAGTTGCTCACAGAAAATTCCACCACAGAGTTTACAAAGACTTACGGCTAGAAAAGCCATACCAGGTAATTTACTACACTGTAGGTTATAATAGGTACACTTATAGGGTACTATGCCAGATGCTTGGCAAGCTGTGTCTTATGACTCATCACAGTAGCTTATGAGGTAAATGCTGTTATGTGAGCATTTTGCTGGTAAGAAAGGTCTCTGAAGCTTCAAAGTCAAGCAACATACCCAAGGCACAGAGCTAGTCAGTAGCATAGCCAGGACTGAGGGCAGGTATGTTTGACTCAGGAGCGGACTGATAAGAGGAGTTAAAAAGAAAAGTGGTTTGATATTCTCAACAGCTGTCCCCATTATGTTTTGCAATCTTGGCATACTGCCTTTCTCTAGTCTAGAAATATTTCTATTAAAAAATAAATCAGATTCTTCTTATCTTGGATATATACTAATATACCTGTGAATTTTTATTATTTGCTTTTAGATGACATTCAGACCCTCTCTACTTTGGCTAACATCATTACCTCAAATGTATCAGTTACAGTGCTGCTGAGTAATTTACTATTTTTTTTACATTATTATATTCCAGTTTTAGTTTTCATTTGTAGTTCTTGAGAAATTGGGAAATTCTCCAGTCTTCATTGGATGGGTAGGCTACTTTCTACAGGTGGCTATTGTATTTTGTATATGATGTTACTTAAATAAGGACATTGCAGTCTTCTGTACATTTGACTGCAGTGGGTAGAAGAGACTGTTTTGATCTAATTGTTTGGCATTGTATTTGTCAAAATTATGTATTGTGGCTTTTTTAAAAAAATACCCAATAGAACTTATAAAAAGTTAATCACTCAATTCATTGTTTATCATGATAGTATTCTGTTTGAAGAAAACTTAACTTTGGTTAAAAAATGATGATATTAAAAAATAAAAATATTTATTTGATTTACTTTTAGTTGCTGACAAGATTTTGAAAAAGAAAGACTATCCTCTTTATATAAATCAAAACTGCCATACAGTTACTGTTTCTCCATACATAAAAACAAACTTGGAAAAGTTTCAGGTAAAGTCATCTCTATTATTTTGGGAACTCACTGCTGAACCTTACCCTATCTCACCCCACCCACTTCCCTCCAAAAAATGAAGGAAAAATTGTGAGTCTGTTACTATTTAAATCTTATCAGTGAGGGATGATGTCAAAATTTCACTTCTGCTTGATGCAGAATGAGTTTGTTTATTTAAAAGATTATTTTAATGCAAAACTATACCTTATTTTAATTCATTATACATTTTTTAACTGAAATTATTCATATAATACTCACTCAAAACCAAGCTCACTGCTGTTGAGTCAGATCCAACTCATAGTGACCCCTCCTTGGGTTTCCGAGATGGTATCATTATGGAACTAGGTTGCCCAACCTTCCTTCTGAGGAGTCTTTATTTTTTTAGGTGGAGATGTACCTGTATTTTTTTTTTTTCATATGTCTACTATGGTTGGATATTACAAATAATCCTTTCTCCACATTTTCTCTGAATTCATTATCTTTATCCCAAACCTGCTCCTTTTTTCTGTACCTTCTCAGTTATTAAATGGCACCACCACCTGCCTAGCCCACCAACTTGAAAGCTAGAACTCATACATGACCCTTCATTTTGCATCACCACCAACATTCATTTGGTCACAGAATCTGTCTTCCTTTCCTCTAGTCTCTATAATGCTGTTATCTTTCTAAAACTCAAATCTGAATCTGACATTCCCCTGCTTGAAATCTTCTTGAAGTTCCCTGTCTCTCTCAATACAAAGTCCAGAATATTTAGCAGAGCTTGTAAATGTAAAGTGTTGTAATTCAAAGTTCTTGACAATTTTTTTCTATTTATCTTTTCTTTTTTCCTCCTTAGGTATTTTCAGGAATATCTACCAGGACTGTGCTTCTGACTGGAATAGAAGACATTCAGGTGGATGAAGAAACTGTAGAGGATTTAGTTAACATTCACTTCCAACGGGGGAAGAATGGTGGTGGGGAAGTAGATGTGGTCAAATGTTCTGTAAGCCAACCTCAAATAGCTTATTTTGAAGAAGAGACTTATGGAATCATATGAAAATCATAACTTCTGAGGCCAAATCACAGTGCATGTTTGACAAAAATAGATGTCCTTTTCCTTAAAAAAAAATTGTGTGTTATTTTTAGATATAAAATGTATTTCTGTGATTTAATTTCTTCTTTGTTTCAAACCATGCTGTGTGTTTAGAAATGTCATAAATGTATTAAAATCAGTTTTGTTCATAAAGTATGTATGTTGCTGCCACATCTACTGGTATCAACCTTAAATGACCTAGATGTCCTCTGGCCCACGTTGGCTCATTCTGTAGTGGCCATGTGGCCCAATTCTGTTTTAGCCCCATGCCCACCAATATGCTGACTTGACTCTTAACATTTCCCAAAAGAAATGCAGTTACATTCAGCACTTTGTGATTTCTGTAGAATTTACAAAAGATTAGAGGACTTTGAGAGGGATCTTTTCCCACTTTGCATAGCATTTCACTTTTACTTCAAAAGTATTTCTCAGAGCAGGTTTCAGTCTGTTTTAAAAACTTCTTTCTTCCAGAGTACCTCCTGTCCCCCAAGTCCTTTGAAGCCATCTGTTCTCCATAAAGAACTTACAAAGACCAGCATTTTCTTTTACACTTATAATGGAAACAATCAGTTTAAGTGATTGGAAAACCTTGGAATAAAGAGCGAGATAAGCAAAGTTAGTAACTCATGACGCTTCATGCTTGATATTAGGCAATGCATGCAGACAAGCACTGTCCTGCCTTCTGTTGTTGTTGTTATTATGTGCCATCAAGTCAGACCCGACTCATAGCGACCTCTCCTTGGGTTTCTGAAATGGTATCACTACAGAAGTAGATTGCCCAACCTTCCTTCTGAGGAGTTGCTGGTGGGTTTGAACTGCCAGCCTTCTGGTTAGCAGTCAAGTGCCTTAGGCACTATGCTACCAGAGCTCAATTATAGAGAGGCTTCATTGGTTAGCATCTTGCAGAAACCTTAGAAGATAAGATGAAAGGTTTCTATTAGAAAAGGCAGAGCATTTGGGTCGGGCAAACATCAATGTTCTCAGCTGATAACCAGAAGATTGATGGTTTGAGGTCACCCAGAAGTGGCTTGGAAGAAAGATTTGCTGATCTATTTCTGAAAAATTCCAAAAAACCAAATCTAATGCCATCGAGTTGATTCCAGCCGTCCTATAGGACAGAGTGGAACTGCCCTGTAGGGTTTCCAAAGCTATGAATCTTTATGGAAGCCGACTGTTTCATTTTCCTCTGGGGAGTGACTGGTGGGTTCCTACTATGGACATCTTGATTAACAGCTGAATGTTTTAACCACTGCATGACCAGAGTGTCTGAATAATTGTTGTTGTTTGTTGTTATGTGCCGTCGAGTCAGACCTGACTCATAATGACCCCTGCCTGGGTTTCCAAGGTGGCATCACTATAGAAGTAGATTGCCCAACCTTCCTTCTGAGGAGTGGCTGGTGGGTTTGAACCACCAGCCTTCTGGTTAGCAGTCCAGTGCCTTAGGCTCTGAATAATCGGCCATAGGAAATCTTACGGAGCAGTTCTATTCTGACATGAGTTGGAACTGACTCAATGGCAACTGGAAAAATTCCGAGAAGGTAAAATTCTCTTTGGTAAGGAACATTTGTAGCAGTTTTATTCTAATATAGTGTTATGAAGAGCTAACCAGCAGAATTAAAGTCATACTCAAATGCTTTTAGATCCTAACCTATCCAACACTGCCATCTAAAACAAACAAAACAAACTACTAAGGAAAGCTTTGCTTTTACTTCTGACACTTCATTTGTAGGTGTTAGAGTTGTACTACCATTAGAAGCACTCATCATTCTCACATTTCCCCTTGGAATGAGAGATGGTGCCTAAAAACTAGACAATTTATCATCTTCATATTCACTCTTTTTTAAGAAAACAAACTCACATTGTCTTATTGTGTCTGCTATTGTGTGTGTGTGTGTGTGTGTGTGTGATTTGGGTGAAGATTTATAGAGCAAATTCACTTTCCATACAGCAGTTCACATACACTTTGTCTCATGACACTGACCACAGTTTACCACAATGCAACAGCTCCCCTCCCACTTCCTCCCCATAGTTACCTCTTCCCAGTGTCCATCCCTCCATGCACTCCTGCCCCCTGAGCCGTCTCCCTGTGCATAAGCAGCCCTTCTTTCTCCCATGATTGTTCTCTCCAAGGAGTGTATCTACCTGTGGTAAATGTTCAACTCATATGCCTGTCTTTTGTCTGGCTAGAAACCATGAGTGTGGGTTCAGTTCCAGACCTGAAGGGCAGCTAGGGGCCATAGTCTCAGTGGTTCCACCAGGCTCTATCAGACAAGCAAACCTGGTCCCCCTCCTTTTTTTTTTCTCTCCAAATGATTTTGAGTTTTGTTCCACATTGTTCTCCCTCTCTATTAGGGATCTCCTACATAGATCCCCTTCCAAGTGGATGACAGTGGTAGCCGGGCACCATCTAGTTCTTCTGGTCTCAAAATTGTATAGGCTGCAGATCTGATGGTGTACCAGTCGCTAGGACTAATTGTTTCCATGAATTTTGGCTTTCTTCATTCTTCTTTGCTCTGGACGAGGAGAAACCCATCATTGCTTCTAGATGGCAGCTTGCTGCTAGCTTTTAAGATCCCAGTCGCTACTTGTCAAAGTAGGAGGTGGAACAATGTTTTGTATAGTATGTTATGCCAGTTGAGCTTAATGTCCCCTGCAACTATGGTCCCAAGTGGTAGCTGGTTGTGACCAAGCAGTGACCACAACCTTGTCCCTTGTCAACTCTACTATACACCTGGGAATTTTGATCATTCATGTAAACTTATAGGACAATTGTCTGCCAACCCTATACGTGCTCTTGGATATGCTCCCCATTTGTGTCTGCTATGCTTTGGAAACTATTTAAACAAAACTATTTAAAACTCCCCAAAAGATTAAGAATACATTTTAAAGAACCTAATTTCATTTCCATCAAAGAGGTCTGGTGGCACAGAGGTTAAAACATTTGGCTGCTTACCGAAAAGTTTAGCTGTTTGAAACCACCAGCTGTTCCATGGGAGAAAAATATGGCAGTTTGCTTCTATAAAGATTTACAGCCTTGAAACCCTATGGGGCAGTTCTGTTCCATGTGGTAGGGTCTTTATGAATTAGAATCAACTTGATGGTGGTGGGCTTAATTTAATTTCCATTGATACAGTCTAATCTGCACAGATGGTTATCATTTGTAGTCCTTGGCCAACAGCCAATCTGTGGTGCAGTGAATTAATTGGTATGGCTATTCTAGCCATAAAAAACCCCAAAAACCAAATTCACTGCCATCGAGTTGGGTCCAACTCATAGCAGCCCCTCCTTGGGTTTTCGAGGTGGTGTCATTACAGAAGTAGATTGCCCAACCTTCCTTCCAAGGAGTGGCTGGTAGGTTTGAACCGCCAGCCTTCTAGTTAGCAGTCAAATGCCTTAGGCACTACGCCACCCCAGCTCCCCCTGGATTTGTTAGTAGTGATTAAAAGAAAACACAATTTGAGCAGTTTTTTTTATTTTTATTAAGGAACCAGGCTGTTAATTCGAGTGGCTCCTAGCCATAGTCTGTAAATCCCACCGGATTACTGGGTGCAACCATGCAAATAAGATGTGTAGAACTCTGATGTTTGGATTGGTTAGTTTTGTCACTCTGCCAGGCTTAAAACAAGCCCTCCTAGAGGAAGAGGGGGGATCTTAACTGCCATCAAGAGAGAAGAGCTGGAGGAGACATAGAGTGGGTCCTTGGACCCGAGATCCCTGCATTGGACCTTGGGAGAGAGGCCCTGGCAGAGTGACGACGGCAGTGGAAGCAACAGGCACAAGACAGAGTGGTGGGCTTCCCTGGACCACAGAGCGAGAAAGCTGAGTGCCTTTGGGCAGGAGGCTTGCTGGAGGAGTGGGGTGCACTTAGGTGTACCTATTGGCAGAGCTTAAAGAGTTTTGTAACATTTGCCCAAGCAGGGCAGAGGCCAGACAGAGGCCAAGGGCCAGAGAGGTGTGCCTGAAGGCACAGCAGAGGGGAGACATCCTGATCGAAGAAGTGTATCCTGAGAGCATTCCTGAACCTGAATTGCAGCCTGTTACTTCCCTAATAAACCCCATAAACATGAATATTGTCTGTGAGTTTTGTGTGGCTATTGCAACGAATAAGCAAACCCAGCAGAGAAGTAGTGAGTGCCATGGGAGGGACGGTTGGTGTCAAAATTGGTAAAAGGCTGGAGGGTTGCGGCATGTCTGGCCTTATAGGAATAAGCCTTGAGCTGCTAATGGTGAGTCTGTCTTCCTCTTGTGAAGTTAGTTGTTGTCAATGTGCCGTTGAGTTGGACCTGACTCATAGTGACCCCTCCTTGGGTTTCCGAGGCAGTATCACTATGGAAGTAGATTGCCCCATCTTCCTTCCAAGGAGTAGCTGGTGGGTTTGAACCACCAGCCTTCTGGTTAGCAGTCAAGTGCCTTAGGAGGTCAGAAGATGCTGCCTCAAGTCCTTTTAGCACAATCATAGGAAGAATTCTTCTGATATTAGGACAATGCTTGAAGCAGTTCATCTCTTTTCTTTTTGTGCCTTCTTCGGGCAATAAAATTAATAGATTCAATTCTAAATTTTCATGATGAAATTTGATAAATATTACTTATCTTAGAAAATGATACTTTTCTTTGGGTTCCTTTTATCACTCTCCCCGTAGTCAAGGTGACTCAACAACCACTTGTCCATGTTGTTGTTGCATGTTGTTGAGTCAATTCTGACTCATAGTGACCCTATATGATAGAGTAGGACTGCCCCACAGAATTTTCTAGGCTGTAATCTTTATGAAAGCAGATCACCAGGTCTTTTCTCCTACTGAGTAGCTGGTGAATTTGAACTGCTGACCTTTCAGTTAGCAACTGAGCGCTTAACCACTGTGCCACTAGGGCTCCTTTGAAAAAATCTGTACAGGCTTTTCTATTTTCTTCTGGTCAGCGTCCATGAAAGCATAAGTGAAACCTTCTCCATCAGCTTCACTCTCTCT